GTAATAATAAGTAATAACTAATAAGTAATACTTAGGTCGGGAGTCGGGACTACACACGGTGTTTTCCGACCGGTATAGCGCAGTTTATAAATTGAAGTACTTTACAGTACATTTAATATTTAAAACATAATGTAAAATTAGGAGTTTGCGTGTTTATTACTTCGGCGTTCGTCCATAAAATGCAAGCCGACCGTCGTTTTCACAAAATTGATTAAGTTTTTTTTTAAGTAACTATAAACCATTCAATTTTCAAAATAGTTGGTATTTATTTATTATTGTTGATAAAAATAATTCTCTCTTTGTCAAAATACATGAAAATTGAATACAATAAGGCTCTTTATAAGTTGTTGTTAATGAAAATTAAAAATAAAGTTGATAATTACATCGTCAAAATTACAAATATTTCTATTTTTTATCTAAGATTTAAAAATATACTACAAGATTTTCATAAGTTTTCCTACTTTAAACAAAAAAAGTTAACTGGAAAGTCTAATTATTTTTTTACGAGCGGTTAGTTAAAATTTTTTTGACATTGGATATTCAGCCGTAAATTAACGAATTCTCATCGAGCGATTTACTTATTTCTTCGAAATTCAATAACGAATAAGTCGAAGATACTTCAAATTTTCACCAAATATTTTTTTTTCAAACATGATAAAATTTTAAAACATTTTGACTCGTTGTGAGCCATTCATAGACAGTTGAAAAACTTTTTTTTATAAAATATATCAATAAGATTATTTCATTGGGTCAAAAAGTTTGAAAATTGAATGCAAGATTCCTGACAAGTTGTTATAACGAATTAAAAAAATAAGATACATAAGCACCATTTTTTATAAGTATTGAAGGTTAAGAATTTAATAAAATTCATCTAAGTCTCAAAAATTTTCAAATTATTTTGAAGTTACAAATTTATAAAATGATCAGTTTTTATAGCTAAGGATTGAATATTTACAACAAGGATACGAGTAATAATTAGTTCATACTGTCACCTTAAGACCTATAAATAATAAATATATAGTCACAGTTTGATACGTGCCCAAAGGCGCACCAGCGAAAATTGTGATTATTCGTTCATTTCGCTTACGCGGGAGAAAGAAAATGAATTGGTCGGCCGTCGTTCTGTCTACCGATCTCAAATCGTTTTTCTGGTAGGAACAGGTGGTATTCGGACAATTGACACCCGACGGTTTTGCCGATATCGGACTTTTTGCACCCGATAATTTTAGAACACCGACAATTGACACCGAGCAATTACGATTACGATTACAATGACGATAATCGTGATTAGGTAAGTACCTATAGGCTATAGACATTAGGCAATAGTTATTAGTTACTAGTTAGTGTCTGTTGTAGTGTAGTGTGTACTCAGTTTTATTTAAAAGTAATTATTATCATAATATTCATTCAATATGGACTCAGAATGTTCCGATATAATTGAAATAATTAAAACAAAAATGATAATTAATGATTATATTTATGTGTTCCAAAAAGAAGTTGGTGGTGGGCTCAGATATACTATTGTGTTCAACGAAAGAAACATTATTGTAAAGGTAGTGTAACGATAAATTCGTCCAAAAGCAAAATTTTAAAATTTCAAAAACATTCTCATAATCCTGATTCTGCTGAAGCTGAGGTATGTCGTGCCTTAAATGCGATGAAAGGAAATATTATAAACAATTTTGATATTCCTTCTAAAGTGTACGCAAAAGAAGTTACCAAATTAACAGACGTATAGCTGCTTGTTTGATGCCAAATGAAAATAATGTAAAAAGAAATTTAAGGAGAATCCGTAACAATTCATACCCTACAATTTCTTCCAAAGAATTCGTATTAGAGGGTAAGTGGACGAAGACAGCAGAACCTAATCAGCAAAAGTTTTTATTTTATGATAATCGATCAATTAATAGTCGTATTATATTTGCTTCCCAAGACTGCCTAGAAATATTATCACAAAGTGATCACGTGTTCATGGACGGAACATTTTCGTCATGCCCTAAAGGATTTTATCAACTTTATGTACTACACGTAATTTATAAAATTATATTATTATATTATACGATTATACGCTGATTATTCAGTATTTATAAATTGTATATTCGGTGTCAATTAGGACTATCAGCGGGTGTCAATAGTCCTATAATTGGGTGTCAAATGTCCTAGATTCGTGACGGGCGACGGAAGGCCCGAGAGGTTCATGTTTATCTATTTAATGCCCGATACTCTTTGGCCTTTGGGCATTCCATAAAGGTATGGTGGTTGAGTGACAGAATACTTTTACCACTTTTACCTTTACCGCAGGTGTAAGGAGGGGAGTGCCGGGAGTGGGCGTGTGACAGTCTCACACCGGCGCTCCGCATTTGTTCGACGGCCCGCGGTTTAAAATTTTAAATTGCCTTATCACACGTCGGCACGTCGCGCTCGCAATATGTACCTGTTTGCTATACGTATATATATACATCGCATTGCGCATTTATTTGAGTTGGACGTCACATGCTACTAGAAATATATATTTTATACCGACTGTATATTATTTTAAAAAAGGCCAAACCGTTGAATGGGATGTCATTTGATTTTTTCAACACTCAGTATCATTTTCTTTACCAACGCATATTTTGTATTCTAAATACAATTTTTATAACTCGTCCAAAATGAAATTTTACATAAATATTTTTAATTTACTAATTTACTAAAAATATGACTTACGATTAAATAATCAAAAAATGATTTTTAAATATGCAATACAAATCAATCAATATTAAAAATATACATGTGTAGTAAAAAAAATCCAAAATGTACAAAAATATACGCAATGACCTTTAATACTTTAACTCCAAACGGCACAACACATAATTGTACTGGAGCAGATTAATTCTATTTACTTCCCGAACAATTAATACGCAAATGCATAAGTCCCCCCCCCCCCATAAAAAAAATAATTTTCAGTTCAGTAAAGCTATTAACTAAACACGTAGATATTCAATTATTTTTTTTTTAAACATAATATGAAAATAAAAAAGGGAGTAAATAATAATATTATTAAGTTGTGATAGTAATCAACGTACGTCATATGATCAAATTCACACCACTAAATTGTTGATATTTAATTAAGTGAAAAATCGATGTATCTATGTTATAGTTACAATGGTGGTTCTAAGATTTGAAAATTAAATACAAGATTTTTTATAAGTTTGTTTACCTTTATCAAAAAAAAAAATTCTCCAGAAAGACAAATTAAAATCATTTGAATGTTTGAAATCAAATTTTTTACAGCGTTGGATATTCACTTGATTTCTCATGTACAGGTTTTCTTATGTTGTTGTAATTCAAAAATGAATAACTGTAGCAACTACCGAGTGCCAATAGTGAATAGATACACAATAATATTATTATGCCATCGAATTCAATCTCATAACAATATTATGTTTTTCATTCATAAATCAAAGAATAGATGAATATTATGTCTATAATTTTCTTCGTTAGCACTTCTAAAAGATAAACTTGTGCAAAAGATATTGGGTTCAATGAGGTGGAGCATTTTTACATATTGTAAATGTTGTTGAGATGTCACCATACTATAAAAATGTTATTTTTCTATCTTCTCAATTCTCAGGAGTTATTCTAATCATGTTGAAACTTTCAAGTTTGCTGTTATATAGATACCCGTTAATGTTTTTTTAATGATTTATCATTGCTTTCAAATCAAATACCTTAATAATTGATATCTTTGTACTTCATAAGCATGCCCACAAGGTATGCATACCATTTCTTACTTTGTGACTACAAGTTTAATGTATTATAATATATTCCTTTGAAGCGGACAGAGGCGGCTCCAGAGACATGGTTAGGGAAGTACTTAAATAATAATTTTCAAAAAACTTTTGATATTATAATAGGTGTTTTTAAAACATTGTTTTTAACAATATAGAATTTTTATAAATATGGGATTGGGAGAGAGCCTAGGCTCCTAAGTTCCTCCTGTAGCCGCCCTGCTTTAAAGCGTGTTTACTTAATATCAAAAAAATTTTTTAAAATAATTGAAAAATGTTGTTTTCTAAAAATAGCCTCAGAAATATATATTGAATAAATTATAAACATCATCATATGCTAAAAATGTACCTATATAAATAGTATAATTTGTAATTGTCTTTAATTAGATACATTATTTAAATATTTGTAATTTTATAAACTTTTATTCTTAAATTCCAATTTTTGGTCTTAATTTTGGTAATTACATTATAAAAAACACCCATTTTTACTTTTATCTCTATTTTATTGTTTTATTAAAATAGTTTCACAAGCCCCCGAGTTTAATTGGCAGCTAGTTTAAAAATAAAACATTATTGAATATGTTAGATTGTGATTGATATTTGTTAATAAAAAATAAAATAAATATAATTAAACGTAAAACAATTATGTAATATACATTTTAATAAGTCAATAATGATGAGTATATTTTTTAAATAATTGACCACCGAATATTTATATAATAAAAAAAAATAAAAAAATATACATTTTATTATTTAATATACATTGTAATGTACCAAACTGAAAAAAAACATTGAATGTATTTATGTCTGTGTGTATAATACCCGTAAGAAATTAAATTATATATAAAATATATACAATTAAACGTTAAACAAATATTTGATATACATTTAAATAAGGTAATACGATTATTATTTTAGGAATAATAGACTACAGAAAATTAATATGTACATGTCTAATTTTATTAAATAATTAAATAGATATCTAGTTTGTAATTAATATAAATTTTCCAATGTGAATAAATATTTTAAAATTACTAGGCCACTGAATAGTCAACTATAAATTTTACCACGATAATTTACAAATTATAAAAATTAAAAACACATGTGACATGCATCAAATATATATTTATAACAAATAACCGGTACATTAGCCGCTAAATATAAATAATATACTCTTTTTAATAAATCAATATTTTGTTGTTTAACGAGACGTGATCGATATATTTTGGTATTTAAAATGTCTACGGTGTCTTTAATTACAATACATTTTAATTTAAAATATGATTTGTTAAGATGATCAATACTCAAAACCACATTTTGAGTATTTTTAAATAAGTATTTTAATGGGATTTTGTAAATCTTATAAGTTTATGGAAATTGATTTATAATATTGAACATATAGAATACTTCATCGTGAATCTGCAGTAAGTCTAAGTCATAAATCCGGAATTTTTTTTAATATCATTAAACCTAAGGAATATAGATATTTCTATGTTTTTCTCTAATATAATCTAAAATATAATCATTTTTAAAATTAACAATATTAATATCACTTGAGTTGATAAAATCATCCTTCCATTTTTATGTTCTGAACACACGCATCATTGAAATTGTCACGATCATTGTCATACCGCATCGTTAAATTTAAGTAATCGAAGTCTTTACTTAATAAAATATCATTCGATATATACTTATCCCAAATGACAATATACAATATCCGCAACCAGTAACTGCAACCAAAAAATGCAAAATCATTTAAACACTCGTTTTAACACCCGTTACGAGTTTACCAGCATATTGTTTTCAAAAAATTCATGATATATGTCACTATTTTTTAAGTACAAACTTTCAAAATAATTCCGCATACTACACTCTAACTCGGCGGAACCATGGCTTTGAATTTCCCAGATTAAATGATCCTTGACATTTTTAAAATAATATCTTAAACATGTATGTACATTTCCTGGACTTCTGGTCAAATGATAAGATATACACAGTTCTATTTTTCTTTTTGAAAGCAATGCTCATAACTTATAAGACCTATTAACATTTGTATTCCAAAGTAATTTATTTTTAATTAAATCAAAAAAGGAACGACTCTGGTTGATGGGTGCAATAAATGTTGTATATTGTTTATAAAATAAAACAAAATCTAAATACCAGTCCATGTAGTATTTGATATATGATCCACTGAAGTCCCATTGGTTATTTTTGAATCGAATAGATGGTTTTTTGAGAATCGTATGCAGAAGTATAAACTGAAGACAGAGTGCTCACGTGATGAGTAACAATTGAAGAGTAGACCTCATTCCATCAATAACTGATCTGAGCTTTTTGTCCAACCAATGAATTTATTTTGTGTATGCAATGCAATGTTTTTACAGACAACAGTATTCGTTGAACTGATGATGAATATGCGACTTTTTAATATATCTAAAAGGATGTAACAGAAATTAATGACTAATACAATAACTCTTGTTGTAACCAATATTGTATATGTATTTATGTATATATAAATATAATTAATTATATATATTATATTATATATACTTATAAATTAAAATCACTTTTTGGTCAGGTCACAACACCAGCTGAATAAATAACCACAGGGTGTCAATGTTCATATAGAAATGTTTTAGTCTTATTATACATTTTAATGTATCAAACATAATAAATATTAAAAAAATTAAACACTATTGAATATATTTGATTGTGTTTTAACTTTTATTAATAAAAACACAATTAAATACAAAGAATATATAATTAACCGTTAAAAAATTATTATGTATTAATTTAAATAAGTCAATGAGAATTATTAGTGTTTTAAAAATAAAAGATCACTGAATATTTATGTCTGACCATTTAATAAGCGTAAGAAATTAAATTCTAGATTTATGGAAAGTGTTTTGTTGTTTTAAATTTGACGATTTACTTTCAATAGTTTTGATGTTTACACAATGGTCATCAGCTAAACGCACAAATATAGTTATTATTTTTTAAACTTAGTTTTTTTGGGGATTTAAAGTTTAAGATAACTTGTATTATAAGCAGTTTACAATTCGCACAACTATATGGAGTATAATATATGACTTAATTTTGTTAACTAACTTAAGTTAAAATATTGAATAAAATAAAATACAGCTAACAACAAATTATGCAATAAATCAAAATATTAACTATAATCAAAACACACCAGATACTGTTCTTATAGAAATCTTTATTGGACTGTCAATTATAGCGAGGCTTGTAGATTCATCCAAGTCAGAAAATAAACTTCTTTTAGCTACAAAAAAAATATATATATTTGCACATAAATAATAACACCTTAATAAAATACTTGGATAACCAGAGGTAAAGATATAGGTTTTAAAGTCTATGTAAACTATAGGTATGCAAAAGTCATGAAATCCAATTTAGTAATTTGTATTTTAACTATAATCAGAACTATAAATTTTACATAATCATATAATTTACAAATATTCATAAACAACTACTTTACTTAAAATAAAATCAATTAAAACAAGGAAAAACCAAATTCGGTTACGTTTAAATACATTTAAAATTTGAAAAAAAAAATACTAAGTTGATTTTCAAAAATCTTATTTTTGGACCTGGTGTGCTTTGCATAAAAGGTGATAATATACTTAAACATTTATAAAATAAAAACACTTATTATTTTTTCATATAAACATTATTTGAATTAATTTTATTTTAAAACTTTAAATTGATCTCTTTGGTTGTATAACTATGTATTATAATTTATATTATCTTAACAAATACTTTTAACTTGACATTGAAGGCGTAGGTGCCACTAAGTGGAGGTTTGGGATTGCTTTGTATAGCGCCCATTGAGAGAATGCTACTCATGCGTTTATTGTCACAATTTTTCCTTTGCTAGTTTCAATAATGTGCTGCTAGTTTGATAATAGAGTAACTTGACATATTGTCAATTTTTTAGGTAAAAACTTTATCCGTGCTAAGATATATGCGATTTTTTTAATAATTTCATCTTCAAGCAATATATAAGCATCATATTTTGCTTGAAAATTAAAATATTGAATAAAAGCTGATACTTAAGCACACCTAAAATTCTTACTTAAAAGTTTGATTAGAGGTAAATTCACTCAAATGATATCAAAACAAACAGAATACTATTGAAGCTAGTGAACAAACATTTACAATGACCTAAACAGAGACGGCTTATACATCCTCTTAGTAGCACCTTTGTAGCATCTTCGTGTTAGGTGTGTTATGGATAATAACGTATTCATTAATAACACATTCAAATAAAATATTTTCTTAAATGCACAGTGAAATGTAGAATTGGTGAAGAACTAGTACGCTAGCCGCGAGACTATACCACAAATTTAGCTACTAACACATTAATATTGAAAGATATATTGCCAATTAAACAATGAACAACAATATATTGGAATTATATAATCCCCCCCCCCCAACCCGAATAAAAAAAATGTGATCCAATAGTTGCATTTATGATTTTATAGGTATAGGTACAAGTAAAATTTAATATAAGAGACTATATTATGACTATAAGATACCTACTCTAGATAATAAATACAAACATTATCTGTGTTTTAATTTTAAACCCTGAGACAACAACCGAGTAATTTTTCACATAATAAGCCCAAAGAAATGTTAGATAAGTTAAGTTCAAGCAAACTCTAATATCGTAAAATACCGTATAACATAATAAATATAATACCTGCAGAATCCGAATTTTTCACAACTTTTCGTTTTCGCACTTTTCTAAGTTTTAATGTGTCTTCAGATGAGGAAAGATCGGACTTTTTGCCACAGAGCATTTCTTTTGAGCCACTTGAAAATCATCTAGAATCATTTTAAAATTTAAATTAATATAAATTATATAACAAACATTTTATAATATAGTAGGTGATTCAGTTTTGATATTTTTAACTCACTAATATTGGAAGTCAAAGTCCGTGCTTCAAAGAAATTAAATGTGTGTTTTTTCGGCTTTATTCTGTTTATAATTGCATTTTTCAATTCACTTTTTTTTTTGTATTCGGCCATGCGCAACATCCTTTTTTAATAAACCAATTTTCGGGTACGACCTCCACCGTATCATTCAATTTAAAGTGTACCACTGACTACGTAGTCTTTTTTTATAAATATAATAGTAGGAAACAAATTCACGTTACACGAAGAAAAGAATATTATAGTCAACCGTGTTTCACCAGACGTCAGTATCGGCTGCTGTCGACTATTAACGATCGAAATTCGAAACTTGATGAGCGATACGGGATTACGGGATTACGGGAATAAACGGTGAAATAAGAAACTGCATAGTGCAATGAAGTAATAATATAAATATCGTCGCCGCGACTCCGCAGCCCATTATCGCTCGCCACAAACTATAAAATATAAATTGATAAACGTATGGAATTCCCAAAGGTTGTGATTAAAAGCAATCATTAATTTTAGATTTAGAACTGTATAATAATATTCTACTTAATAACAACTACGTGAAAATAAGCCGGTATACCAATATAAATAATATAATAATACAATTTTATTATTATTATCTATACAATATGTCAGGACTGTCGTCGACACTATTTTTAATGTTAAAATAATTATCATTTACTTATGTCATTATAATTATGTATAGACTATAGAGAACTGAGGAATAAACGCCTAATAATAATATATTATAATAATGTACATTAAATTATTTAAGCATAGTTCAATATCTCGATGTACCTACCGATAAAATATAACATATAATACATTAATATAATATAATATAGCCATATAGGTACCTACCGTTATACATGACACACTCGTACGGAAATGCAGACCTTGGTAATTTTCTAGAAATTATATATGTACTTTTATATAAAATGTATTTATACTTATATAGTTATATACGTATTTAGTATTTCTTTTATACGTAAATGTTAAAGCAGTGAAAGGAATATGCAGTGGAGACGTGGAGTACGGTGTAGGTATTCATAGAATAAATCGAATATATTATAGGTAGTTTATTCAAAATATACCTAGTCATTAGTCAAATAAAATATTCCACAGTTTAAATTATTATAAACATATAATAAAAATATGTTTGAATTTAAATGCATATAATAACTAGGGCTCAGATTTATATGTACTTATATAACATAGAAAAGCATGTATTAAGACTACAGAACTATTTACATAAATCACTCTGAACTCTGAAGAAAACACGTAAAAACAGTAAAATTGTCTAAATATGTGAGAACAAATTGAATAATTTATTGTGAAATGTGTAAAAACATGTGTTAAACCGCTCCTGCGCATAAGTGATTTGATACACTAAACATTTTATTCAAATAGAAAATCGAAAAATCTGAAAGGATATTACATTATTACTTAATGATTTCTGCAATTCTTTTGCACCATCGTTCTTAACTCGTTGAAGTGGGTATATTTTTAAAATAAAAATTAAATCAGAAAAACTTGAGGTGACTAAAGTGAATTTATTACTTTATTTAAAAGTAGTTTCGTAGTTTTTATTTTTAATACTGGGCATTACCCTCCCCCCTTCTTGCTACCAAAAAGAGGAGGATTTTATGCATATTTAACATTTTCTAAAAAAATTATCTTTTTTCTCTCTTAAGCCGAGTACCTATATTAATAATAATATTGAATATCAAAATCAACATTATCAATTATAGTATATTCATTTATTGTTATCGTTGAAGTCGACTAATTAAAGGACAGCAGTGCAATGTGCATATTTTAATCTCTATCTATTCTCACTATAGAATTCTGATGTAGGTACCTCTACTATCTTTTCGAATTTATTTTTTCCAGTTCAATAAAATGTCAAAATACAAAAAGTTTCCTTCATACATAAAATATTAAAAATTTATAATTGGAATCTTGAATAATATTGAATTTTGATGGATGTTTATAATTTACTTGGCATTTAAGGTATATATTTTCTTCACGCGGGTTTTATACATTTTTGTGCAAATTTTTCCTTTTCTAGCTCCTTATATAAATTACGAGCGCTAGCTATAATACTTATACTTAGCACTATCATATTTTATTTTATTTTTGAGATCATTAGGTTGAGATTTATAATTAAGTATTAGAAAGTACCTAAATCCTTTAAACTGATGGACTTTACAATTGCCCATATCAGTAGAGCAAATCATTTTATTTTTGAAATTAACCCGTGCTGCAATATTTGCTGCTTAGTGCATACGTCTTAGGATCGATGAAAAAGTAGCATTTTTACATTACGGTATATGAATGGTTACAGAAAAAAAATTGTGCTCAGTATATTGGTATAACGTATGTTACAATAAATATATAATTATGTAGGTACTGCAGGCGTCTGTAGCAGTATAATATATAATTGTACGTGCAACAATAATAATATACTTTTTTTAAAGGGAAAAGACGTATCCAGTAGACGACAAAGCGAAATATACCATTAGACCTGCCATTAATTTTGAAAGTTGTAACGCACCGGAATTTGGAGTAAATACATTTTGTCTATGTTGCACGTGGACCAAAGCAGAGGGATAACAGTGAGCTAATATCCTCTTAACTATACGCAGTATGGTAAATGGTAATTAATTGGAAAATCAATAGATCTAGTTCTTAACATTATGTACTTATTGTAATTGTATTTAATATGTAAAATCGATTACTGGTAGTCTTCCTTTACAATCGTTAAAAAAAAGAATAAAGAAAAAACGAGATTTTTATGCAAAACCAGTATACTTATTATTTGACGAAATGTCGAAATCGATTTTGTTATTGGTGAGACCACTTTATTTTTTATATAAAAAAAGTGCTGTAGCAACAAAATAGTGTATAGACAAACAGGAAAAGATACGGAAGTTGAAAATCAAAGCACTCTTTCTACTAAAAAAAAAAACACTCATTATTGTAAAAAAAAATCAAATCTCAACCATTTCATTGTTAGTAAATCTTTTGGTATTTTACCAAGAAAAAAAATAAATGCTATACATTTTGTGATTTTTATCATGTTACAATAGGGGCACCCCTGGAAAAATTTCATGAACTTATAACTATGGCAACGCTTAATTTTATTATAATGTAGATAGTAGGGTATTTATGGTACCTTTTTAAATGTATAACTATTATGAGAAATAATTTCAATTAGTTTTTATATTGTTTCTATTTTACAATATCTGTACTTTGTTAAAAATGTATTTTTAATTTACATTTATTTATTTTCTTTCAGTAATAACTCAACATTATACCTATATTATATACTATACTTATATATTTTTTCTATTTAAAATTGTTTTTTGTTGTTGTATTTTTCGTATAATTATAGTTCGGAAATTCTTGGAAATTCATTGTTCATTTTGATGCAAATAAATTTTAGTCTTGATTTAAATTTATAAACAGTATGTCCACTGATTTATGGAACATTAAACTTCTCGGTCAGATAAACGTTGGATTTAATTGTGACATTTTTGAAAAGCTAAAAGTGGTGGTAAGTATCGACTTGACATTTATGGTATATATATATCATGTAAAATGATCAATCTTCTCAGAATGTTTATGCACAGTACACGTTTTTAAAATAACATCTATTTTTGATAAGTACTATATTTCAATATTTGTGTATTTTATCAGCCATTCTGCTTTTATATAACTAGGCAATTAAAATCAAAATTGACTGAATTAAACCCATTTTAAATTAAAAAATAGTTACATTTTTTTCTAGTTTTAATAATTCTAAATTGTTATACAGTTGTGTATTTAAGTACCGTTTTGCTTACTCAGCTTATCAAAACAATTATTTTCAATGTAATCTGTGAGAAATTGTGTTTTCGGTGAACAGACTGTTAGACATTATACGGTATAATTATAATTTGTAGAACTCGGCCTTAATTGAATATAATAGTTCATACCCTCATTATTAGGTATATATTCAAACATCTTGCCATCTTGGTGAAATATTTCTGAATGTTACAATACTCATATAGCTTTTATAACACGAAATAATGAGGTATTTCTATGTTATTTGATTGAATACTACTCAGATTATTTTGATTTGGGACACATGAAAATGATAATTCGGTCTGTTTTGGATTATTATTTATTACCTGTATTTTTTAGTTCAGTTTGTTGATTTCTAACACGTTTTTGATAACCTGAAGTCAGTTTTTCTTTATTATTTATCGTGCTATAAATATAAGCTCACGATTTATTGACAACATTATTACGTTACAAAAAATGTTAAAATTGAAACTAGTTGTATTTTGCCGAATCTATAATACTTGATAATAATTTATTTAAACTAATTACATTATTTCCTTTATTGTTTACTTAAATTGTACAAATATCCAATACTCGCAATCCCTCAAACTAATTGAGTATTATAATAAATAATAAATATCAAATATACCTGTAGACTGTATCATTGTAGCTGATTAGATTGTAAACTCATTATGCTTGGCGACTCGGCATTCATCAGTGTTCACCACTTAGAATTTATACGACTATACTTGGTAAATGACGAGCGCGGGTCTCGTGTCACGTACACATCGTTTAATAAAATAAAATCAAGAAAAATACTTTTATATACAGGTATTGTACATTATCTAGTATAAGTTAAGTAAGATATAAATCGAGAGAGCCAAAGAGTAATAAGTATTAAGTAAAAAGTTAATAACTAATGTTTAATAATATATTAATGTGGTCGTGGTATCAACCAGAGTGATTTTACTGAGAAATACTATTTTTATCTACCGATACTCGACATAAATTTCAAATCAAGGTACTACATTAGTACATTCACTGCCTGTAAAATGTACATTAATTCATTAAGAGGACGCCACACCCGCATGTGTTGTCTCCGTCTTACATAGGTACAACATAGAAAAAACTGTTTTGCGCGGAACAACTTTTATCTTTCTGTGTTTGTAGTAGTGGCTCCAACATTTCTGAACATATCGAGTAGAAAATTATCTATGCAACAGCGTGCCTATATTTAAGATAACATAAATACAAAAAAAGTTATTTGCTTCTAAACATTTTGTTTTTTTCATTTGCTTATAAAAAATGATTGGAAAGTGTAATTAAAAAAAAATCACGCTGTTGCACAGATAGAGTTCTTCTTTACGTGTTGTGAAAATTTGGTAATTCTACAACAAATATGGTGCGAGAAAAGTTGTTCCGCGCTAAACAGTTTTTGCTATGTTGTACATTTGTAAGACGGAGACAGCACATGCGGGTGTGGCGTCCTCTTAAAGTTCATTACTCAATTCAATATAATCATAAGATCACTGATCTTAGGTAATATTAAGAATCTTAGATTGCTGAAAATAGG